TAGTGGTAGGTAGTAGGTAGTAGGTAGCAGGTAGTAGGTAGTAGGTAGGTGGTAGTAATTAGGTAGTAGTTAGTAGTTAGTAGCTAGTAGCTAGCAGTTAGTAGTTATTAGCTAGGCTAGTACTTAGTAGTACGTAGTAAGTAGTAAGTAGTAAGTCGTAAGTAGTAAGTAGTAAGTAGTAAGTAGTAAGTAGTAAGTAGTAAGTCGTACGTAGTAAGTAGGAAGTAATAAGTAGTAATTAGCAGGTAGTAGGTAGTAGGTAGTAAGTAGCAAGTAGTAGCAGGCGGTAAGCAGAATGTGGCACATACCAGGCAGCTGATGGTGACTGGTCGTTGGTCGTAGTATGCCCAAACCAAGCAGTCAGACAACCAGTTCTGCACAAACCCACCGATAAAAAACAAAAGCAGAGACGGATCCTCAGACCACACACACACACACACACGCGCGCGCGCGTGTGCTTCCTCCAATGCCAGGTGCAAGCCGAAGTCCTGAAAAGAAATAGGAATGAATCGAAGGTAAACTGAGAACCTGCACCAAACCGGACCCGGCTATTTTCGGTGAGCACAGGAGGACACGCCGATGGATGAGGCCAAAGACAAAGCCCGCTTTGCAGAGGAGCAGCACAAGGCACGCAGAGCTTCGGACCCCCAAGCTCGGAACTCTCGAGATTAGTTTTTCAGGTTTGTTGTCGGATTGGCAGCTGAATGTTGTGAAATGCTGTGGCTTGGATGCTAAACCACCGCTAGGTTGTGGTTGCTCGGAATGTGCGAGAGTACAAATGTGCACAAACCTCCAGGACCTAGTCCGGCAATATAGCCAAGCTCGGTAGTAACCTGCCCAACTCAAAATTATTAGGGGTTTGGGCAGCTGAACCTGCACAGTTGTGCCCTCAATAAATGCTTCGGAGCAATTATTTGGCAATGTTTGAAGGTGTGGCTAGGAATGGCTCGATGTGCTGAGGAGTTATTTCCGCAGCACAGAGCTCGGCTGCAAGACCAATACCAAGCGGATGCTTGACGAGCTGCATGTGGAAGGAACAAGCAGCCAGAACTCCCCACAATCCATGCGGTTCTAATTCGCGAGCACTCGACTATATTTGGAGACCGGGCGCGAAAGCCCCAAATCCGCAAGCTCACTTCAACTACCGGCTTCACCTCGGAGTGCGATTCAACCTGCCTGTGTGACGCAGGTCTGCAAGCTCGTGCATCAGGTGCAGCTCTTAGAAACAAAGATGGACTTGTCTCGAAGTTAGTTAATGCAGCGGCCGCGGCATGAATGCTCAGTGGCCAGAAGGGAGCAGAACCAAACCTCATCAGTCACAAAGTCATGAAGTCCTGAAGCATTCGACGTCTCAGCACCACTAGGTCCGACACGAAGATAGCGATGTTGAGTTTCAGATCCTGACGACGATGCGAGGCCCGGTGCTCGTTAGTTTTCGGACTTTTTTTTTTGGGGGGGGGTCCGTCCCAGAGTGCTGGGAGGCAGTTGTGATAATTCCTGTGAGTCGCGTAGGCCCGGGAGATTTTTCATGCTTCTTGTTTTTTGTTTGGGAGTGTGTGAAGTGTCTCACGCACCCGGCCATGATCACATGTACCGGCACCGCTGACACCAATCAGGACGGTTAGGTAGCTCAGCCAAGAATACTTCGAGGGTTCTCTGGACAACATTACTCTCCGAGGCCCCGGGTGCAGACTCTCATTTAGGAATTAGATTGTGGGTTTGGCTAGTCAGGGATAGTTGGAGGGTCTCGACTAGAGTTGTCGAGGCAGTTGCTCGGAGGGCCTTACATAAGGCCTTTGTGATTTCACATCTGCCTGGCTACATCCAAAGCTCCAGGCTCCAAGAGAGCCAAGTGAACAGCGGTTGGAGCTGATGGGTGCCTCAGCGCCTCAGAGTGGCTTATTCTGCATCGGCATGGTCTGTGAATCCTCGCGCTTGGCCGCAGGCTTCTTCGGACAGGGTGGACCGAACAGGCCGGCTGTGCACTGCGAGGCTTTAGGGTTCTTTTGGACACGGAGTTTAAAAGGCTCGCTTGCTCCAGAAAAAACTTTTCCCGTATCGAGGGCCCTGCGAAACAGGGTAGAGCACAGCACGTGCATTGCACGAAAGTTCCAGCCTGACTCCTGCAGCCCGCTGGTGCGCCGAAGTCCCTACAGCAAGCAAAGGCCGAAGATTCAAGCCGACAGTTCGGATCAGCTGAAAGGCTCGTCTTCACTTTGCAGCCCATCTTCTTCGCTGCCCTCGGGCTGGTGCCAAAGATCCTTGCACGGGAGAAGCGCCGGGCCGAGGCGCAGCAGGGCGAGCTGGGCGTGCTTTTCCGGAGCTGTGGGGTGTGTGTGTCCCCAAGCCCTTCCGACGTTGAGAGGGGGCGCGTGTGAGTGGATTTCTGGCTCTGAGCTCTTGTGAGTTTGTATGTCTCCGTCTAAGTTTGGATGTGCTAGCTGTTTACATCACTTGCGAAAATCAAAAACCCTCCAACAAGTTGTTGGGCGGTAGTTGTCTTTGAGATGGAAAGGATGATGGAAAGTGGAAAGTAGAAGATGGAGAACTATCGTGATCCCCTCCCTTCCCCGGCGAGTGTAGGATTATTATCTCCAACTTCCCATCAACCCAATTAACCCAATTACCTTCTCAGAAAGAACCCAAACTCCCACGCCCCTAGCTCCAGCTCGGGACATCAAGTGGGGTAGGTTTCGGATGCTTCGATTTGGGACAGTTTGAGGGCTGAACATTCCCCAAACCTGAGCACATGATGCTCGCTGCTGCCGATGCACCGACGCAAGTACGTGCTTAGTATTTTTGCATACATGCGTCGCGGTGCGCAAAGCCACAAGCCAGTAAGCCAGCAGGAGGGAGATGAGGCGGTCCCGCCACCTGCAGTCAGCATGAAGAAGGCACGGCCTAGATGCTGGAACTGGAGAGCCTCCTGGCGTCAAAACAAAACTGAAGAACCCAATGCTTGGACCCCAACTCGTGTTTGTAAGACTCGAGACTTTTTCGGGGCTGTCGGTGCCAAGTCTCGGGCGAGATTCGCGCCAGGTGACAAACGCAAGCATCCCTGACACAACGGAACCATAGTAGTGGAAGAGAAAAACGAGGGACGTGGAATGATTTGAGAAACCCTCTCCGTAGTGTTGCAGGTTCCCATGCCAGAGCACCCTCGTCAGCCCCGACCCGGGCAAACCCTACCTGGCCCTGCCTGCAGGATGCTGTCGGGAGATTTTCAAGATCCCGAACCATGTACATGCATGGACATTGTGCGGGGAGATGTCGGGTCCAGACCGATGCTAGTTCCAAGCACAGAAAGTCCGAGGCCTTCTCAGTCAAGCATCACATGAATCAGAGTCCTGATCCATCACACATCCCCGGAGTCGAAATACCGACCACACGTTAGAAGATATCCCAAACCACACGACACGATGCCGACCACCATGCAACTCCGAAATGTTGAGTTCTTTAATCCTCAAGCGTCAAAGCACCTGCCGAAGCAGGTCTTCCAGTTCGTGCACAAGACGAACACAGCGCCAGACGCCCAGGTACTTTGGGCTCTTGGAAAATGGACGGCCTCTCATTGGAGGGAATTCATTGAGATGTCTGGGTTGCATACTTCTAGGTTTTTGTGAAACGGACGTGTGATTTTCACTTTCGAACCGAGGCTGATGCAGTCCTCACCAGACATGGCGCTCCATCTTTGGCTTGCTGCTGCCGCAGGGGCCCTGGGGCGGACTGGGCCAGGAAGTCTTCGTCATGGCCAAATAGTTTCCTAGGATGGTAGGATGGTTTGCTCGAGTGGATTAGGGGATCTCAGACTGTGGCGGCTCGGCTGTTTGGTGCTTGATGGGTCGCTTTTTTTTTTGCCGTATGTTGCTACCTTGATCTGCTTTTTGCAAGCCTCGCGGCCCATGCCGGAATCTATCCGGCTACCACTTCTACAAGAGCATGCGCTGCACGCGGTTGTGCCAACATCGGGGACCATCAGGAACACTCGGAAACAGGGTACGACGGGTACGACGATTCCTTCGCCGTTAGGTCATATTCGTGCTCCCCTGCCACACATGCTGTACTTCATCCTGGAGCTGTTCATCGTTTGACATGTCGTCATTGCCGGTCACACTTCAGAAGAGCCTGTTGAAGTTACATGGAGCATACCAATCCCAACCACTGTTTTCGCAGCTTGTTGGAAAGCATTGAACTTCACCGCTGAGAAATGCTAAATAAAATAGCTGCCAGCACCTACCGACACCAAGGGCCGAATCAATACGTTATCGCCACGCATACCCGCCCTGGCGGCCATGTCAGACCCTCCAAAGCCGCACCTGTCATCTTTGTGCCTGCGTCCGTTCCTTGCCACTGCCCTTTCCGGCAGTATCTTTCATCCTTGATCTGGCAGGTCTCTGCAGACCAAGTTGAGAGAGCCACCGGTGCGCAGGGAGGCTATGAGCCCATCGCGTATGAGTTCCTCACGCAGGCTGGTTTGGCTGTGGGTCCTGTAAGTGCAGTTCTCTGGCCAATCAGGCTTGAAAGTGCGTAGAGGCTTAGAGTGAGTCACTAGTTGCTAGTTACCAGTTGCAGTAAGTTGTACAAGAACCCGTCATAGCTAACCGTCTTTTGGCGTTTCGGGTTAGCCTCCAAAAAAATCACCGAAGCCCTTGCATGTGCATATAAGTACGCCAGGGCATAAACTGGGAGCACTGGGCTTCTCTTTGCGAACTGGCCTTGAAGGTTTGAGAGTGAGGGCAAGCGTTCTACGTAGTAGGCTGTTTAACGAGGTGGCTCGACAAAGTTGCCCTACCTCTGTGTGCCGAGGAAGGCAACAGCAGCGAGAAACTGCATGCTACTGTGGCAGGCCCTTGTCCTCTTTGAGGAGGAGATTTCGGACAGTTCCAAGCAATACAAGGGCATCCATAACATAGTCGCGGCCTCAAGGTGGCAACGCAGAGGCCGCCAATCTGCATGGTCAACAGTCCCGAAATGTTTGCACCCTATGAAGCTACGACCCTGAACTCTGCACCCTCGCATGCTCGCCTCAAGCTCAAAAGCAAGAGAGACTCCGGAGCTAAGGTCACAGAAATTGGTTTTGTTTTTGGCAGCTGACCATACAGAAGCTGACTGAGACAGAGCGAGCTGCACCGAGCTGCCAAGGTACCACCGACCAGTACACTCGACAGGCTATGCTTGTGCTGAGACTATTTGTCCTTTTCTTGGCAAAACGAGAAACCCATCCGAGCTCGAGAATCCATGGTCCTCTCTTCACCAGACACCGCTTGAACCCTACAGTAGACCGTCCCAGATAGACCTCCTTATTTAAATCCTGCGGTTGCTTCCATATCAACGAAAATGTCCGAACCTCTATAGTAACGTACATAGACTTCCGCAATGAAGCAAAGCGGCCTGGATCCCGGTCCTGTGCTAAACCCTCGACCTTCGACCTTGAGTTCCTGCAGCCTTCAACCCAAGATCGCAGATTTGAGGTTGGCACCCTCTGCAAAATCGCGGCCCTGGACCCGGAGAACTTTGATAACGTCTCACAGAAGATTACAAGGCAGCGCTTGGAACGTAAATGCGATTCTTGGTTGAGGGCTCCAAGGATTTGCTCAAGCCGCAAAGACGCTTCAATAGCATTGTAATGCCTTGACTCTCTTCACAACGAGTAGCATGCTATATTCTGACTTTCAGTTCTCGATTAAGCATACGGGTGCTGCTTTGTCAGATGTCGTTCCGAGGGAGTGTGGTGCCGAATCGCAGCTCGAAGCCTTAGTTGAAACTTGAATTCTCGACACCATGGCAAGACTCCGGCAAAGTCAGAGTTTAGGGTGGGTCCCGATTGAAGGCTCCGCACTCGAGAACACCTTCGTCTTCGGGACGGATTCTTCAACAAGTTCGGGGATCTCCAAAATCAGTGGACCTTCCGACGATTTTGCCGAACAGGTTGAGCCGCTAAGCCCGTAGCCGCCAAAGCCATTCCATGCCTACGCCAAAAACAGCTGGGAGGCACGCGGCGAAGCTGCTGAAAAAGCCTTGGGCCAAGGAATCTTGCATCGGCCGAGCGTCTTAGCGTTGTTCGAGCGTCTGAGCCTCCTTAAACAGGGACAAGTTGGGCACTCTGACCATGCTGTTGCTAACTGGCTGCAGCCCTGAGAGTGCTGGCTGACCCCAGCAGCCTCATGCTCACAGCCTTAGGCCAATGCAGTGCCGGGCAGTGTCCGCTTGCTCTCAGCTCTTCTGGTGCCACTCGGACCCTAAGACAACAACTGGGACTGGGACAACTAAAATGCAAAAGTGGGTCATCTGGACTTCATGATTTTTCGGGTTAGATCATGAGATCACGAGGGCTAGTGTGTTTGTCGACGGGACGGTCAGCCCGCCGGCCGATGCAGACATGTTTAGTTGGCACGATGACGGTTGACAAGCAGCCCTTCTGCAGCCAAAGGCTGCTTGTAGGCCGGTACAACCTCGCATGTCTTCCAGTCTTTCATCCTCGCACACGGACCAAACGGACCTAAGCAGCTGCAGCAACCTCCGAGGCGATGCCAGACGAGATGGCAAGAGAGTGCGGGAATGCTTAGAGAGGCCTGGGTACGGCCGCGTCTCGTGGATGTACGGCAACATTGCGGAAGCATGAGGATACCCAACTTGCGTTCATACCTGTGACATAGCTCTGGGAAGCTCCAGTGTAGGCTGAGTCGCTTTCTCCATGCCCGTGGTTGATACCATACTTGCAGAGAGTCTCACCGTGTGGCGCGGAAGGGCCTCGCTTCGGCACTTTCTGCAACTTTGGCAACCGCGGCAGGTGCGTCAAAACGTGTGAGGCTGTGGTGCAGTCGGACTCCGCGCAGGTGGGTGGGTTGCAGGGTGAGGTATCGACCGGATGACTATCTTAGCCACTTAGTCCTGTCATGGTCATGACTCCAAGTATGGCACATCCGGTGCCTAAGGGCACGGGCTTGGTTTGCAAACCTCGAACCTGCCATGCCGAGACCCGCAAGGGTTGTGCCAGAAATGCCATCTTGGGCCTTATGCGACTACTTCAGCCGGCCGAAGTTGGGCGGTCTTTGTTTCGTCAGTCCGGGGAGGGCTTGAAGTCTCAGTTCACAGGCATGAGTGGCAACGTCGTGGGATGGATTTGTCCTACACAAGTAGTAAGTGTAGTATCCACGAAGTCTCCTCTCTAGACACAGCCAACCGTCCACATCATGCAGATCCCGGCCCCAGAGGCCCTGCCCACACTTGCCATTCTGGCACCCTGTGAAGTGTCCTTCATCTGTATCGAAATTCATGGTCAGCATTCCAAAGAATGCTCAAGCCACAAAGCTCTCGCCAGGTTGGCCTGTGGGTGGAGATGTTCGACAGATATATTTACTACTACGAAGTGCAGTGTGAAGAGGCATCTCGTGTCATGTCTTGCTCAGGGTCTGATTGCAGGGGTCGCTGCCTATAACCTTACTATAAGCCCTTAAGCTTTGCATCTGAGCTGAAGAATGTACCAAGTTTTGGGGTTCTCATCCAAGTTTGTTCTTCTAATGGTGTCTGTAGAAGGCGAAGGTATGTCACCAGAATGACTCCTTTGTTTCAATCTGGTCCATTAGGTTCGTTTTTGGGTGCACTGCTTCCTGGAGCACGACAGCTTCCCCTTCGCGTGACGCATGTCACCAGAAGCTTACTCCATCGTGTCAACCTGGACTCCACCTCGGATCTACTGCATAACACGCTTGTACCGGATGCACAACAGCTTCCCATTGGCGCCGTCGGCATGGCATAGATTTCGTCGAGCGTGGTAGTTTCACCATCTGTGTAGCAATGATCGTGACATGCCCGGCTTGAGCTGAAGGCAATCCTGATGCATGTTTGCAGGTAGGCATCACCTTCCTGCAGAGTTTGATGCAGATCTGTGTGGAGCACATTGACTTTGCTCTCAAGGACACCCGACCGCTGGTGTGTGAAATCGATCGACGTCGATGAGCGTCATCATGAAAACAGAGTTTGCCCAGAGTCGTTTTGGAAGCCGATTCCACCCCAAGCTGCATCCACGGAACAGGGGCCATGAATTCCGTGGAAGTTTTCGAACCCTCAGCGCTTGCGCCTGCTGGACTAGGATGCGCAAGCGGAAGCCGAGGCCAGAAAAGCCAAGGCCTTCAACTGCGGGTTTTACAACTTCATGTCGGCGTCGCATGCAAATCAGAAGGGCTTTCAGGTTAGATTAATGATTCGCTACAGGTCGATTGGTCCCTCCATGCCGGTCCTTCCTTCTTTGCAGTGAGGTGAGATAAGACCACATTGTGCGGCTTGCAGAGCCTCACCGCATGCATGCCGCTCCTAGGATATCCTTCAATGGTCGTTCGAGGTAAGTGCGTTCTGAGCGAAGAAGGTCGGGGAGCAACTGCGTGTAAGGGACATCGTCTCAAGCATCTGCTGAATCGGCCAACACTTCATATAGGCATTTCACTTCATGCAAAAGATTTCCAGGCCAAAAACTTGAGGAGTTTGTGACGGTCAGTGGCTTTGGAGACTCCTCTTACATTCTGAGGCTCTTCTTGTCCAACTCGCAAAGCATTCCAAAGCTTTCGCCGTACTCGCGACTGAGAGGCGCACCTAAACGCCACCGTGACGTATCTGCGGAAGATGAAGGAAAGTACTTTGCCCAGCTGGCGCGGAAGGACATTTTCAGGTGTCATCTTTGCAGAGAGCATCCTCGTTTTGCAGACGAATGAAGGCGTCCAAGTACAGGATGGTCATGGGTTTCAGAGTTGTACAACAAGATGGAAGGCTTTCGGACAAATGGTTGAGAACACGACGTTTCATGTTCTGCCTCATGAGGCGTCTGCGCAGGAGCACGCAGACCCTCGACGACCCTGTAAACGTTCCGTCCGACTTCGACTGTGTGTGTAAAGTACACACACACACACACGCACACGCACACACATACACATACATATATATATATATGTATTATATATATATATAATACATATATATATATACATAGTTATAATTATATATATAATATATTATATTATATTATATTATATTATATTATATTAAAAAAATTTTTTATATTATATTATATTATATTATATTATATTATATTATTATATTATATTATATTATATTATATTATATTATATTATATTATATTATATTATATTATATTATATTATATTATATTATATATATATATGTATATGTTATATACATATATGTCTATGTTATAT